TGCTTTCTCAGACAACTAGGAATACTGCTACCTCAAGATCCAGCTATACCACTCCTAGACATATATCCAAAATATGCTCAACTATATAGCAAGGACATTTGCTCAACCATGTTCGTAGCAGCTTTATTCATAATAGCCAGAATCTGGAAACAACCTAGATGTCCCTCAACAGATGAATGGATACAGAAATTGTGGAACATTTGCACAATGGAATACTACTCAGCAATTAAAAACAAGGAAATCATGAAATTTGCAGGCAACTGATGGGAACTAGAAAATATCATCCTGAGTGAGGTAACCCAGAAGCAGAAAGACACATGTGGTATATACTCACTTATAAGTAGATATTAGACATATAATATAGGATAAACATACTAAAATCTATAGTCCCAAAGAAGCTAAACAACGAGGACTGTAGGGAAGATGCTTAATCCTCATTCAGAAGGGCAAACAGGATAGACATCAGAAGTAGGAGAATACAAGGAATAGGACAGGAACCGTCCACAAAGGACCTCTGAAAGTCTCTACCCACCAAGGTATTGGAAGGAAATACTGAAACTCATAGCCAGCTTTTGGGCACAGTACCAGAATCCTTATGGAAGAAGAGGGAGATAGAAAGACCTGGAGGGGACAGGAACCCCACAAGGAGAGCAACAGAGCCAAAAAACCTGGGCCCAGAGTGGGGGTGGGGGAGCCTGTAGAGATCAGTACTCCAACTAAGGACCAACTAAAACCTAGAACCCCTGTTCAAAGGAAGCCCATTGGCTGCTCAAGTACGTTCCCTAATAAGGGGTATAGGGTCTGTCTATCATGAACTCAGTGGCAGGCTCTTTGATTACCTCCTCCCCTGGGGTGTGCAGCCTTGCCAGGCCACAGAGGAAGATGATGCAGCCAGCCTTGATAAGACCTGATAAGCTAGGGTCAGACAGAAGGAGAGGAGGACCTTCCCAATCAGGGGACTAGGGAATGGGCATAGGAGGAGAAAAGGGAGGGTGGTTGGGACTGGGAGGTGCCAAGGGAATGGTCTTCATCGGGGATACAAAGTGAATAAATTGTAATAAATAAATAAATTAATTAATTAAATTTAAAAAGAAATCGGGCCTGAAACTAAATAAAGACCTTAAAAAAAAAAAAACAAAAAAACGAAACAAGGAAATTATGAGATTTGCAGACAAATGGTGGGATCTAGAAAAGATCACCCTGAGTGAGGTATCCCAGAAACAGAAAGACACACATGGTATATACTCACTTATACGTGGATATTAGATCTATAATATAGGATAAAAATACTAAAATCTATACACCTAAAGAAGCTAAGCAAGAAGGAGGACCCTGGGTAAGATGCTCAATCCTCATTCAGAAAGGCAAAGAGGATAGACATTGGAAGATGTAGAAAACAGGCAACAGGACAGGAACATACCACAGAGATCCTCTGAAAGACTCTACCCAGTATTGTATCAAAGCAGAGGCTGAGACTCATAGCCAACTTTTGAGCAGAGTGCAGGGAATCTTATGAAAGAAGGGGGAGATAGAAAGACCTGGAGGGGACAGGAGCTCCACAAGGAGAGCAAAAGAAACAAAAAAATCTGGGCATAGGGGTCTTTTCTGAGACTGATTCTCCAACCAAGGACCATGCATGGAGATAACCTAGAACCCCTGCTCAGATGTAGCCCATGGCAGCTCAGTGTCCAAGTGGGTACCCTAGGAAGGGGCTGTCTCAGACATGAACTCAGTGGCTTTGATCACCTCTGCCTGAGAGGGGAGCAGCCTTACCAGGCCACAGAGGAAGACAATGTAGTCAGTCCTGATGAGACCTGATAAGCTAGGGTCAGGTGGAATGGGGGAGGACCTCCCCTATCAATGGACTAGGAGAGAGGCAGGGGAGGAAAAGAGGGAGGGAGGGCAGGATTGGAAGCGATAAAGGAGGGGGCTACAGCTGGGATACAAAGTGAATAAATACTAAAAAATAATTAAAATGCTAAGAAAAAATAAAAATAAAGAAAATAACTGAACTTAAAAAAAAAAAAGCAAAGTTTCTAATGAAAGACCCCTGCCTCACCCTAAATTAAACATAGCTAACGCCATTTTGTGAGACACCACTGTTTTGTAAAACTCTGAAGGCCAGATGAAAAACTAAAAAATTACTGAGAAATCCTAGCTGTGTCACCCACTTGGGATATCTGTGGTCAGGCTGCCCCTGTTGAGTTAAAAACAACTTGTTGTGACTACCCTCATGGGATATCTGACAGAGGTTGTTCCAGCTGAGATAGGGAAAAACAAAATAACAGGTGGCCACGTTAAGGGGTGGTCAATCTTGGTGCCCCTGCCAAACTTTGACGCAAATCGTGGTCTCATGAAAATGTACCAATCAGCCCCCTGTAACCATGCTTCTTGCTTCTGTACCAGTGCTTCTGCTCTAAAACCCTATAAAAACCCCAGCTTCCTACCTAGGGGGCTCGGAAGTCTCCCGAATGACTTTTCGCCCCGGGTACCCGTGTATCAAAATAAAAGCCTCTTGCTGTTTACATCCGAACACCTGGGCTCCTTAGACAGGGGTCTCTCAGACGAAAGATACCCTCCGGGGATCTTTCACTGAGGCTGAAAACATTCTAGGCCTAGATTAGATTGTATGGAGGCTAGAAGCTTCCAAGACTAGGCCTAAGTTAGCAGTGTACAGGGTCAGTGAGCCTCCCAGAGAACAACTGAAACAAGAGAATAAAAGTTCCTGCTGTAACTGAACTGATCATTCCCAACAAGCATCCTCGATCATAATTTTTTTTAAGTACATAGATTGCTTTCAATAGGGTGGCTTTTTTTTTTTTAAATGTATCAGCTGCCGGAGCCCCCCCCCCCCCCCCCGCAAAGTCGAACAGTGCCTGGGTGGGGAGTGAGGATTTAAAATAATTAAAACAAATCACACTATGCACGGGATGGCTTGAGAGGGTGGTCAGAATGACTGAAGCAGCGTCGGTTTATTCCAGGGTTCATTTTTTTATAGGTAAAGCAAAGACTAGTCGCATCAATTCAAAAAGAAAAAGTTTGTGGAAACTCTCTACTTAAATTTCAAAAACTATCTCCCTTTAGCAGATAAAGTCCTATTCTAAAACTAATTCCCTTTAGCAGTTAAAGTCCTATTCTAAAACTAATTCCCTAAAGCAGTTATGGTCCAAGGTCACACAGACAAGCTTTTAAGGAATTCGGTAAAACTTCCTCCTTTCTTTGTCAAGGTAAAGGCTAAATGAAAACATAACAATGCAGTTTAAGGAGCAGCTCTCCACAATCAGCATTGCTTTTTATTTTTAAGCTTTTTTATTAATGAATTCTATTTACATCTCAGTCATAGGCTCCTCCTTTTTCTCCTTCCTATCCCCTCTCCCCTGCCCAGGCACCCCAGCTCATCTATTCATATGAGGACTCCATCATACTTTTAATTTTCTTTTATATTACATGTGTTTTTCCTGCATGTATGTCCATATACCGTGTGTGTAGAGCCTGCAGTAGCTAGAAGAGGGCACTAGGTCCTTTGGGACCGGAACTTACAAGTAGCTGTAAACACAATGTGGGTGCTGGAATCTAATCCAGGAAGAGTAACCTGTGCTCTTAGCTACTGAGCTGTCTCCCCAGCCCTTAGAATTCCTTTTGTTGTTTCATTTTGCTTCTTGAAATACAGTCTTACTATGTAGTGGTGAATGGCCTGAAACTTTCCAGGTAGAAAATGGTGGCTTCAAACCTCCCACCTTTGCTGCCAGGGTTCTAGCGTCATCGTCATGTCATGTCTTTACAAACTGTTATCTTACTTTCTACACCTCTCCTCCAATTCTCACCCGACTGAATCTCTGTTATAACCAGGGCTGCTCTGGGAAAATGTGGGTACAGTTTTCTGCACCTACAGTCAGAGGAAATTTGACTTACTCTGTTTCCTCTTGGGTTCCTTCTCCTTTGAATAGCGACTCTTCAAAGTAGGATAGCTTTGGCGGGTTACATGCTGTGTTTTTACTTGGAGCCAGTCAGCTGTCTTTTGTGACAATCTCCCAGCTACAGTGGAGCCTCACCCACCAGTCTGTAAGAAACTGTATTTGATGTCCAGTCTCCTTTCTGTAATTTCATTTGGCAAGTGACAATGTACTTAGTAGTCAATACATATCCATTGAATTAAATTCAATGCAGTTTCTATTTGACAGCAGTCTGCCATACTTATTATAAAAGTTTTAGATTCTCTAGAGAGACCAAATTCCATTTAAATTTCAGGTTCTACAAATATCTTCAAAGTATTTCAGAGACTCTGTTTTATCCATAAAATGATTAATAATAATAATAATAATAATAATAATAATAATAATAATAATAATAAATATGTTGTGCTAGCACGAACACAGCCTTAGGTTGGATCCCCAATCACCGAAAACCAAACAAACAAAATCTATTAGCAGAAACAATTTTTTTATTTTGTTTTTTGAGACAGGGTTTCTCTGTGCGCGCACACACATTCCGCCCCTGCCATGTGTATTGAGTACTAAGCCAGTCCTCAGGATCACCTCATACCTTTCCATATATCTTTATTAAATCCAGATGCCTGTTAGTTTAAAAAATTGAAGCAATCGTTTTATTTTTCTATTTCCTGTTGGAATCATATAACCCTGAAAACACTTTTCTCCTGTTTTATGAAAATATCAGGCACTTAGCTAATTAGATGTGCTACCCTTAGAGTCCTGTTTGTTTTAAAAGTGTCAACTTTCAGGATGTTTTGTGTAAGTCTCAACAAAATTATGTAGGAAATGACCAAATGCTCTCAAGGCCCATAAGCTGTCCTTGAGGTCACCACTACCTGAAGATGGCTGAAAACAAAAATGATCTGAGGACTGCAACATGATAAGATCAAATTGACGTCATGGTAATTTTATAAAGTACCATCCAACCATTGGGTAGAATTTACTGTTGATCCCTGGGCTTAGGTGCAGGTGGGAACCTGCAATTTGAATTACTCTGCTGGTATAAAAAGACAGGAAGAGACTTTACTAACTGCAGTTACTGAATGATCGGGAGACAAAGTTAAAATTCCTCTTCAGAGCTGCCATCAACTACCTAGAACACGTCCCTTGAAAAGTCCAGAGGAAGGTAATGGGATGAAGTAATTGGGGGGATATTAATTAAGGAGTAAAATATTTGAGACCACAGGAAGGATGTTTCTGCATAAATTTTGGTAAGAAAATAATTAGGCATTCATTAGTTTTCTTTAGAGTGCTAATGACTGAGTTGGGAGGAGGCCTGTAAAATTGCAGTATGCGATCATAAGCTAATTAAGATGTTATCTAGCAGAAGCCAGAAAACAAGTATCTCCCGCAGAGAGGCTGAATGCTTGTCAAAACCTAACCTATTTTCTCAAGAACCACTGCATGTCATTTGAAGGGCATTCACTTTGAAGGTCTTCCAGAGACCAGACAGAGGGTAGGTAGACACTGTATACGTGGCTGATATTTTGTCGACAGTTTCAGATGCTGCATAGCTGAATTTTCAAGTTAGCTATCAACAAAACAGATCACTTGCACTGACCACACATTCTAATATATTTTGAATAAGTGCTCTAGTAGTTTTAACTTGAACATTGTTTTAATTTTCTTTTTCATAAAGTTCTATAAAATAATAGTTGGTAGCATTTGCAAGTCACTACTGCTGACCTTGTTATAACAAATCACTTTCCGAGCCCAAGTGAGTAGTTCCCATGAGCTTTTGGAAAACTTTTTTCCAGCTACTATAATTGGCATATTGTGTGAGCACTGCACCTTCTCAGATCCTACCAGCCTCACATGAAAATGAAAATTTCTCAATTCAAGCACTTCTTGAGCAAGAAAGCATAGCAGGTGCTTACATAATGCTTGCGTTCTTTTAAACGTTAACGTTGGTCTAGAGATAGTTTAAAGCACAAGGGAGGAGGTGTGTAGGTTGAATACAAATATGCAGAAGGTTCTTGAGCATCCGGTGCCCTGGTATCTGAGGAGAGGTTGCAGTTAATTTCGTGCTAGAATTAGTTGAACCAGTGATTGGTTGGTAAACTGAAAATGGAAAATAAAAAGAAACGCTTTTGTTCTTTCTCAGTATTGGGTACTTGCTCAGTTTGGGCACTAGTGAAACAGACCCAATACACAGTGAGAGTTACTCGGCATGCAAAAGAGCGCTATTGTCCTTCGATAGGACTTCTTGTTTCAAGATATTTTACATTAAAGGAGAAATGTGTGTTTTGGACACAGGTTAGTTAATATTGTTCAGGCTGCCCTGGGACTTGTTACACAGTCAAAGACAGTCTTGAACCCCTGATCATCTTTTCTCTACCCCTCACGTGCTGGGATTACAGGTAGAAGAGAAATCTTCCACATTTCTGAAGATTGCTCTTAAATAACTACCTGAGGGGCTGGCCTCAGCCTTGCCGAGCACTTACTGCTCTGGCGCCCACACTGCATGGCTCTTTGCAGGGAATCTGGCACCCTCTTCTGGACTTTGAGGCCATCTGCATGTGTGGGGCGCACACAGAGACAAGGAGGTGCACATGCCGGCAACACAAAACCCTTTAAAGATACTTACTTGATACAAAGTGGGTGTGGCGGAGCACTTGGCCACAAGGGCAGAAGTGCAGCTGTGAATCTGGGGTCAAGTCAGCGCAGGCTACATAGGGAGACCTTGTCTCAGAAACAAGGACCAAGACAAAACAAACTAACAATACCGCGGGGCCAGGAAGATGGCTCAGCAGATAATGGTGCTCACCACCAAGCCTGACAACCTGAGCTTGATCCAAGGGTAGAGAGAACTGACTCCCAGAGACTGCCCTCTAACCTCCATACTCACACTCCAGCCCACAAAAATAAAGCAGTGTAAATTAAAAATTGTTTTCTTTTTCTTTTTTGAGCAGGATCTCACTCTATAGCTCAGGTTGTCCTTAAACTCACACCTCGGCCTCCTGAGTGCTGAAATTACAGATGGCAAAACTCCTTGGTTTAATTCTAATTCAATTATTAAAAATATTTGTCATTCAATATTGTTGTGATGATGATGTTGATGATGATGGTGATGATGAGTGTGTGTGTGTGTGTATTGGGCATGTACATGACAAGGGGCACATGCCGAAGCCAGAGGACAACTTTAGGAAGTCAGTTTTCTCTTTCCACCTCCGTGTGGGTTTAGGGATGGATGTCAAGATTTAGCCACAAGTACCCTTACTCACTGAGCCATCTGGCTGTCCCTTGAACTACTGTTTTTTTTTTGTTTTTGTTTTTTTTTTTTTTAATTCTCGTAACTTTAATGATGTCGTCAAACGATATACTTAAGACACCTCCATAGCAAGTTCACGTCCCTCAGAAAGTAGCAGGGGCTCCCAACCGTATTCTGCTGCCCAGTCAGACTTCCACGCTCCTGGGCTGAGGAAAAAGACCCCTTAGTGTAAGGAGCTGAATAAACCCCCGGCGTACCCATGATCTGTTATTCTTGCTTAAAACAAACAAACAAACAACATTGAAGCAAACCCTTTCCAGGGGCTGCTGCCACCCGGAGAAAACGCAGGGCTGCTGTAGCCTGCCGGTGCTGGGTGCTGCCGTTCCGCTTCGCGCGTCCTTCTCCCGCAGTCACACCGCGTGGAGCTCATAGAGCTTGACCCAGCGCACCAGGGCAGCCAGCGCTTTTGCGTTGCGCGGTCTCTTTCCGCGCAGGTCGCCCTTCCGAACCCGCACCACCGGTGCGGAGGAGGTGAGCGTGTGCAGAGGCAGGCGGACAGACAGTTCGTAGGCATCAGGGTCCAGCTGCCGTCGATGGAGGGTCCAGCAGGCCAGCCTCAGCACGCCGGCAGGCAGGGAGATGTAGCGGGAGGAATCCAGGGGCTGTGCCAACGCGGTGAAGAGGCAGGCGGCACCCGCCAACACGTCCTTCTTGTGCAGGCAATTGCCCACGGTGATCCGACGCGCTGTGTCGTGTCCTGGTCGGGTGGGCTCCATCACGGTGTACTCGTCCAGGGCTTCCAGCTCATACTCAAACTGGTCCTGGGCATTCTCCCGACTGTAGATTTCATGTACTATGTAGCAGTCTGTGGCTAAAACTTCAAAAGTAGACATCACTTATGAAAGGTTTAAGTGAGTTTCATTGCCATTTCAATTCTGGCTTTTAAATTTTTATTAATTGTGTGTTTATTTGGGTGTGAGCACACATGTGCAAAAGTGTGAGTGAAGGTCAGAAGACAACCTTGAGTGTGAGTCCCTGCCTTCTACGTTGCTTGAGACAGGTCCTCTTGCTGTTCACTGCTATCTATGCCAGGCTAGTTGGCTTCTGAGCTTCCCACGGTCCTGTGTCTGTGTTCCATCTCCAACGGGGACCTGAACAATCCACAGTGCAGTCCCCTTTCTCCCGTCAATGAACATCTTGCAAACTAAATGCATCTTTATGGGTTAGTACTGCAGCACGGGGGTTGAACTCAGAACCCTGCAAATGTTTAGGCAAGCATGAACTACAGTCCCAGCCTCTAGAGCTTCCGGCTCTGCTGCTGTCCTCTGTAAGCCCTCTCCCAGGCAGCTGAGTTCTGGAGACCGAACCCGGGACCTCCTGCGTGTGTTAGGGCAATGTTTATCACAGGGTGAGAGCCCTAGCCCCCCACTTTAAATGAAAATAATGCATCTTCACTCGAAAGGTGGCATTACATCAGCTTAAAATGGTGCAATGCACAAATGTAACTCTCTTTTGGAGAGATTCTTGTATTGTTACAGAGCACCCATGGAGAGCTTCTGCACCCTACCTCCGAGCTGTATCTGTAGCTTCCTTTCCTTTTCATTTTGAGACAGAAGTTCACTAAGTTATCTTGGCTAGCCTTTAAGTTCAGACCCTTCTCCTTTAGTCCCCCGAAGAGCTGGAATTAAATATTTGTGATACCAGACCCTCTATTTTCTGTGTAGGTTTCTCTGTGTAGCCTTGGCTGTCCTGGACTTGCTTGTTTGGAAAAGCTATAGAAGTTATAATTTTATAACTACTTAAAATTGCATAGTTTATATATGTCTGTCTATCCATCTGTCTACATATATTTATATGTATTTATACACACATAAATATTATGCCAGTTGGGGTGACAATGTTCTTGCTCAAATCATGGACTAACAAAAACCCAAGAACCCATAATGAGAAAACTTGAGTGGCTGGTCAGGGGAGTCCAGAACACCTGCAAACAGCTTGGGCTACTGCTGTTTTCCTTAGAGCTTTCTAGAAAAAGAAGATAAGAGCAATAGGGTTTTATCTTCTATTGCTAAAGCCACCACACATTTCAGAATAGATCTGGAGAAATTAATCTGGGTCCGACGTGGAAGTCTTTGCACTGAGGACTAGCTCTCATAGTTTCAGGAGGAGCCATGCATCCTGCCAACAGAGAGAAGCCATTAACAGCTCTATCCAGATGTAATACCAACAACCAACAACAAAGACCAACCCAACAAGATACTCTGTCTCCGAGGAGCAAGAGTGGTGCTTGTGTCCTTGGCTTTGAAACTGTCTTAGAAAGTTTTGGGAGGCTGGTAAGGTGCCTCAGCAGACACAGACGCTTGCTGTCAAGCCTGGTGACCTGGATCTGAGTCACAGGACATGCGTAGCAGAGGAGAACCAACTCAGACAAATTATCCTCTGACCTTCACTTAGGCACTGTTGCATGTCCTATGCCAACACACACACACACACACACACACACACACACTCACACTCACACACACTCACACACTCACACACGCACGATGCATGCACACGAATAAATAAATAGATGAAAAAGGGTTTTGTTCTGTTTTTTTGTTCTGTTTTGTGGGGTTTTGTTGTTTTTGTTTTTGAGACAGAATTTCTCTGTGTAGCCCTGGCTGTTCTGGAACTCACTCTGTAGACAGGTGGCTTTGAACTTAGAGATTTGCATGCTTGTGACTAGAGAGTGCTGGGATTAAAGGCATGCAGCATTGCCGCCCACCTCTAGCCTGTACTCACTTCACATTCCCACTGGTGATGTCTCTGTTATAAAATTTCATGTATTCAGACTAACATTTGGCATTTCTTTAATTATAAGCGTTCTGGTGATTGTTGTTTTAATTTACATATTCATCTCACCTAAGTTTTCCATTAATTAGACTGGGGAGACAGAACAATTGCTGAGAATTCATTGCTTGAGGTGGGAAAGAGGGAAGGGAGAAGGGGAGGAGGGAGAGAGGGAGAGAGATAATTATGTGCTAATTGCTCATGTCGGAAATGGAAAGATACAGTGCCCTACCTCTTTCCTAAAGGGATTGGGTGCTTTTACTTACATGGTTTATGTATGTTTAGGGTATGTTGGGAGCTGAAAGTAGAGGAGCGAGACATTAATAACTTATGAGCAATCATGTCAACCTTACTGGTTGATGGTGCTGGGAAACAGCTCCGAGGTGAGCAGTGACTTAGTACTCCCAAAGCCAGCACCATCAGCTAAAACAAAAATCACCCTAAAACCACTGGTTTGTGTTCTGATGGGGAGGCTACGATTAGACTGCTATTTTTATGTTTTTTTTTTTTTTTTTTTTTTTTTTTTGTTTTTTTCATGTGTGCTTTGCAGGAGAGCTATGGATTACGACAGAAAGTATGCAGCTGTCATTCTGGTCGTGTTGTCCATGTTCTTGCATATTCTTCATTCTCTTCCGGATGGAGACTTCATTATTCAGGGTATGTGAATAAACTCGGGCTTGCAATAAAAAGGAAAACGTGAATCTCCAGATGCATAGCAATAATCGTTAGGTAATTTCTACCACCTTTCACATGTGACAAAAATTTACTTCTGGGAACATACCTAGGCACCCATAGACTGTGAATACAAGATTAAGTTAGGTTCAGAAAATATACAGTGAAAAAGTTATGCTCCACATTTATTTTAATAGCATCCTGACATGTTCATCTGAAGTGCATTTTTTATTATTCCATATCTGAGTTTTAAAGGAGAAAAAACATCCTTCCTCAGCTCAGTTGTTTCTCACATTTCTTCCAGATTTCAGAACATTTTTTCTAATTATTTAATTTTATGTGCATTAGTGTGAAGGTGTCAGATCCCTTAGAATTGGGAGGTATAAACAGTTGTGAGCTGCCATGTGGATGCTAGGAATTGAACCCGGGTCCTTTGGAAGAGCAGACGGTGCTCTTAACCACTGAGCCATCACTCTAGCCCCATTTCAGAACATTTTAATGTTGCTTTTGCATATAAATTTTTATATCAGTTAACAAGTGGGGAAAACAAAAATCAGTTTTGTGCATTAAATTTGTTTTCTTCCATTGTTTGATTCATTACCTATGGTAGCTGACATAGCCACCAGCTTTGAAATTGTGAACCATTATTTGTTATTTTTTTCTCTTGCTAAATGGTTATATCTGAATCTGAAATTCTAAGCACAGATGTCTTTTGTATTACCAAGCTATCTGTACTCATGAAGCTTTCTTAATTTTTATGTTTTTTTCCCTGTCAATATTTGGAGTTTCTATGAGGAAAACAATAACAGGCTTGCCTCTGGAAATTTTTTCTTTTCAGATGAATTTATATTCAGATGGCATTTATATTTGTCAAGTGTTTGTGTTCTCTCTAAGCATGCAATTAGCCTGTTCTTGGAGAATGAGAAACCACCGTAATAAGCTACCTATGCAGGTATGCAAAAATGGTTTCTCCATGAACATACCTACAATAATTACAAAGAAATATTATATATGAAGATTGATATGTGGACAAAAATATTTCTTCTTTTTATTGCTAATGCAGAAAGCATTTGTCAATGTAATACTCAGAAAATTGCCGGTTTGTCTGAGTCCTTCACCTTCTCCCTTCTGCTGGCTAGGTTGCCCAGAATGTAAACTAAAGGAAAATAAGTACTTCTCCAAGCTGGGTGCCCCCATCTACCAGTGCATGGGGTGCTGCTTCTCCAGGGCATACCCCACTCCAGCAAGGTCCAAGAAGACGATGCTGGTTCCAAAGAATATCACCTCGGAGGCCACGTGCTGTGTGGCCAAATCGTTCACCAAGGTGAGAGCTTCCTCACAGTCCAGCCAGAGGCAGTTTCTACTCATGGGGTTTAACGTCCAAGTTGTCTAGTGACCTGTATTTGTTATTCCTTTGTATGGGCAACCCCTGCATTTGTTCTCTTTAATTAGAAGAATAAGCTAAATGAAAAATGTGGATGGCACGGAAGTAGAGAGAACAGTGTAAGAAGCCAGCTGGAGGTGCAAAAAGGGAGGTCAGAGTGTCAACAAAACCAGTCGGAGGCAAAGCATGCTCTCAAGCTCTGCAGTGCGGCTACGTGCGGACAGCTTGCTGCAATTCCTTACACAGATTGTAGAGAACTAGAAGGGAAGGGTTTAAAAGTTGACAGCACAAAGAAATGATGCCGTATGTTAGAGGACTGAAAACACTTCCTCCCCGAGTTGATCATAATACTCGGTATGTGAGTTTCAAATTATCAAACTGTACTCCATAAACACGTGCAATTAGAATAGTCTAAAAAATACAGAGCGCCTGGACGTAGTGGTCCGTCCCTGTCATCACGTCATTCAGGAGGCAGAGGCGGGAAGATCCTACACGTCCTAAGCCTACATGGCTGGAGCTGGTGAGAAGGATCAGCGGGTAATGATCTGAGTTGGATGCCCAGGTCCAAATGACAGAAGGAAAAAAAAAAGATTCCTTCAAATTGTCTTCTAACCTCCCCCTCACCCCCAATAAATAAGCGGGAAAGAAAAGGGCCACTTGGTCTTCACTGTGATTTCTAGGTTATCTGGGTTAGTATAATATGAACATGTCTCAAAAGAACAACAGAAGTACAAACAAAAAAAAACAAAATCCCAAATAACCCTGGGAGCACTAAGAGCCTCTGAGGTTTGGTTCTTAAGAGGTGTGGACTGATGGTGGGGGTGGGGTATCAAGTAAATGGGGCTGTTTTTTGGGGGGGGGTAGAGAATATGGGTCAATGGCTGAGTGTTTGCCTAAGAAGTAGTGAAATAAAAAAAATTAAAAATTGAGAGTGAGAGAGGCACAGTGGCACATGTCTGTAATCCCAGCACTCAGGAAGGAAGAGGCAGGCGGATCTCTGTGAGTTCAAGGCCAGCCTGGTCTACAAAGTGAGTCCAGGACAGCCAAGGCTATGCAGAAAAACACCTCGAGAAACCAGAGAGAGAGAGAGAGAGAGAGAGAGAGAAGACAGAGCTAAACAAAAGCAGGCTGAACAAAAAACATAACTTACTTTGCTGTGTGAATTTCACTGCTAGAGTCAATGTATCTCCTGAAAGTGAAAATGTAAAGACACCAAGCGTTTATTTAACTATTCTGGCTACCATTTCATCTGGAACTTTGCAGCTCTGTCTGTCTGGCTACCTACCCGTTTCTCCTTCCCTCCAGGCCACAGTGATGGGAAACGCCAGAGTGGAGAACCACACAGAGTGCCACTGCAGCACCTGTTACTATCACAAGTCGTAACTTTGCTGCAAAGGGCTGTGCTGATGACTGCTGATCGGAGGGAGGGAGGGCGCCGTGTGACGCTGCCCCTCCTCCTTACCAGACCTGGCACGACCCAGTTACACAGCCGCCTTTGCTGTGTGTTCCCTTATACGTTAGCATAATCAGCAGTCTCTTCTTGTTAGTATGTAGCGTGCTCACGTAGGTTGGTTCCATGAGAAATAAAGCCTTTTAAATCACCCATCACAGACTCGCTTTCTTTCCAAGTAAAGCTACTTACTTTTGATGAGCTGTATCAAAGGGGTTGATAAATCTAATGGGTTGAATGAGGACCCAGTGCACCTGCTGACCTGACTCTGAACAGGCTGGCTGTCACCTAGCCTTAGCAGGCTGTACGTCCTGTCAGCCAGCGGGCTATTGAGCAGGTAGTTCACTGGGGTGGGAGAAAAGGGCATGAGAAGGCTAGCTTTGCTCGTTTTCATGTCCCTTCTATATCTGTATTTTAATTCATTGTATCAAGATACAGATATATTAAGATAACACATGCATATAAATTATAATCAAGTATACATATATTGTAGATATTTCAGTTGAAATGTTTTTTTGATAGTGAAAAAGCAAAATCAATAAACAAAAAGTAAAGTATACTTTTCTAGGGATTGGGAAAGGCAAAATCTCTCTAAGCCTGAAATTTCTTCTTGGTTTATGCCTCCCCAAAATGAAATTAGTCTCTGGTAGTCAGGGAACACTGTCCTCAGCGAAAAATAGAAATTGTCGTTAAAGTTCCAGAAAACCAGTTTGTTTTTTTTTTTTTTTTTTGTCTTTTGAGACAGAATTTCTATGTGTAGCCTTGGCTGTACTGGACTCACTGTATAGACGAGGCTGGACTTGAACTCAGAGATCCACTTGCCTCTGTCTCCCTGAGTGCTGGAATCACAGATGTGCGCCACCGTGCCCGGCAGAAGACCAGATTTTTATATCACATATCCAAACAGTCCTGGGTGTGCATATATAAATGACAAGATGAGGCTAGCCAGTGAGCGCTCACTGTGAGGCAGTTCCAAGAACTTTCACTCTGTTCTCACAGAACACTTGAGAGACCAAGGCTCAGTGGCGGAGCTGTTGCCTAGCACGCGCAGAAACCTGAGTGCAGCCCTCAGCACCACAAAAGCTAGCAAGCAAACAAATAAAATGAAGAGCTTCAGAGCACCGCTGGGAGTCTCAATCACATCTCCTGAGCTTTTTGTCTTCTGTGATCCTTACTCTGAGGACAGTAGGATATTCATAATATTAGCCATGAACTCAAAGCTACTCCAAAGTTCTGTTCCTAAAACAACCTGAAATTTTAAGACACAAACTTGAAAATCCTTTAAAAACAAAAGGCCATACCCACTGCAGAATATATATATATATATATATCAGAGGCTGGAGAGATGGTTCAGAGGTTTAAGAACACTGGCTGTTCTTCTGGTCCTGAGTTCAATTCCGGACAACCACGTGGTGGCTCGTAACTGTCTATAATGAGATCTGGTGCCCTCTTCTGGTGTGAAGACACACATGCAGACAGAATATTGTATGTATCATATATACATACATAAATTTTTAAAAATTTTTGAAATGCAACCAGGCAATGGTGGTGCATGCCTTTAATCCCAGTACTTGGAAGGCAGAGGCAGGTGGACCTTTGAGATCAAGGCCAGCTTGGTCTCCAGAGTGAGTTCCAGAATAGCCAAGGGCTATACAGAGAAACCCTGTCTTGAAGGAGGGGAAAATTGGAATGCAAAATATCTCCTGACAAATTGAAGGTAAATTCTTGCAATAAGTACAATGACAGTTTTGGATTATACTGCATTTGTAAGAGATGTCATCCTGATCCTGAGATGAGGTTCTGGCTGAGGCAATTCAGCGTGTAGTCTGTGAGGATTGATTCCATGGTAGCCACCTCAGTGCCATTCCCTGGCCCCCTTCATCCCCCCCACCCCTCAAGACACAGAGGAACCCTGTCTCAAAAAAACAAAACAAAACAAAAAGAACAAGAACGCTAAAACCAAGTCGCAGACTTCAGGGGCGCCAAGCTAAGCAGTTTGTAAAGGAGCATGCTGCCACCTATCGGCCGTGAACTGGCCCGTGAGTGTAAGGAGAATTAGCTGTCCTGTTCTGACAACAGAGGCCAAGAGTGACCAGGCTAGAAGGGACTGTTTAATAGACACCCTTAGCAGCACGAGCCGTCAGGTGGAGCTCATTTGTGAGCACGAGGACTGGAAGACGAAGTCTAAGACTATTTGAAGATAATGTGCTGGTGAAGGCACAGTTGTTAGCAGAGGACATGAAGCAGTTCTTTGAAGAATTTCAATCAAGAGAGAGGAGGAGGGTGGCTGGGCTTGTGGTATTACGGCAGCTGGGGTGGAGTGCCACACTTCCTCACTCGAGTCCACGGAAATGCCATGGTTCTGGAATAGAAAGACCCGAGTCACACTTGGTCCCCTTCCCATCTTCCTGTGGCCCACTTCCCTAAACATTGCTATCATGTTTATGCTGGTCTCTTTAGCAGCCCCCATGGCTCAGCTAAATAAATGCATCTTATTCCACAGACTTCAGATTTCCTATCCAGGAGACCCAGGGGAAGCAAATTTGACCTTGAGGAAGCAAATTGTTTTCTTTCTCCTCAGTTTGTCCCGTGACCCCCAGAAGTGTGTCTACAGAGCTGTTGGCTTCTGGGTCTGCTGTGTCTTGCAGGTTCTCTCCCAGTCAGCCTGAAGCCCTGTGGGGGACCACCCCCTTTGCTCTCCATGGTCACAGAGCCTTGGATCAAAGCTTCCTCAAGCCTGCTCTGCTGCTCTCTCACTGCTTTCTGGGGTTTGATCACGGCTTAGAAGAGACTTTTCTCTGGGTTTCAGAGTAGCTGGACCTCATGTTCTGGCACTGCTGTCTATGGTAGGCAGGGAGGTTGACGCTGGGCAGGACTGAGGAAGCAAGTCTTTGTCCTGGGTTTCCCTGATGAATTTAAAGTGAAACTTTGCCACCATTCTTCCGGTCTTCAGACATCAGTGTTGTTACTGCGACGCTCCCAAGACTTCTGGGGAAACCCACCCATATGTGAGTCCTTTTGCTACTGCCTGTCCCACCCTGCGACATCGCTGCCTTACAGGGTCCTCTGGTTTCTTACATTATCGGGGATACTCATAAGCATATATGAAAATGGGCCTATCATTGATATTGTTCTGTTAGGAAAATATTATGAAAATGGAAGCTGTTTCTCCCCTTGAATCCGTGCTGAAGGCAAACATAATGACTCCCCTCAGAGGCAGAGAGTGCAGCAGGAGGGCCCTGGAGGATTCCACAGCCCTCAGCTACATCCATGTTGAGTTTCTGTGTGTAGACGCTGTACACAAACCTCCCCTCCTCACGAAAGTCTTCCGGAGATCCTCACGGGATGTTCCTGCATTGAGGGAAGTCCTTACATGGTGTGAAATCTCTCTAGAGTTTCCTCAGTCAGTGTGAGGTACAGCCAGCTTAGGCCACATGTCAGCGTGGCTGCTTTTGTGTGTGTGCAGCCACACACACACGTGTGAATTCTCATCAATTCCTGGACAAGATGAAGTAGCCCAAGAAAGAAGGCCTCAGTCAATGGCATGGCTCCTGTGCTGTGGCCCCCGGCTCCTGGCAAGAGCGATGTGCCCAGTTGGAAGGTTCCATGGCTGCAGGCCATGCTTGTGTCCACTGAGCTGGCCTCCTGGAGAAAGCCTCAGGTGCCTCCAGCTTGCTGGGAGGTGTGGGGGTGTCTCCCAAGCCTAGGGTATTTTGAGCTTGAGTGTTGCACTTTCCATGTACCAGTGTGTCCTCAAAGTTTGTATCTTCCCAGATGCTTGATATAACTATGAAAGAGTGCCCAGTGCTGACCAGCTTGTCCACGAAAGGCTCTTCCATGTTAACTGCAAAACCTCTTTTTGTACCTGTTTACAACCAGTTTTCTTAATGTCCTTCTCATTGCGCTATCTTTTCTCATAGAGATGGTTTGGGCCAATATGTGACAGTTGATATTAAAACATGCAAACAAAAATGTGTATTGTATGTACTTTTTGTAGAAATTATTACTGTACTTACATACTTCAATCAGGTTTTTTTTAATCCAAATAAAACAGTTTTTTAAAAAGCCCAATAATTTGCAGCAGCTTCTTCCAGAGTAAAAATAAGCCCATCATAGCAGAGTAACAACATTTTCCTACATATCAGGCAGCTAGTGTGGTGTTTAAAATTTGTCGTTATAGCTGGGTGATGGTGGTACATGCCTTTAATTCCCTTACTTGGGAGGCAGAGAAAAGTGTATCTCTTGAGTTTGAGGACAGCCTGGTTTACAGAGCAAGTTCCAGGACAGCCAGGACTATACAGAGAAATCCTGTCTTGAAAAACAAACCAAACCAACCAACCAACCAACCAACCAAAAATATTGCCATTATTATTATTATTATTATTATTATTATTATTTATTGAGACAGATGACACTCTTTTAGGTCTTGCTTAAAAATTAGAGAAAGTACATAGTATAGAGAAACTTTAGGAAGCCAAAAAAGAAGAAGAAAAAGGGGAAGAAGAAGAGGGAAGAAGGAAGAAGTGAGGGGAAGAAAAGAAAGGAAGGAAAAAAACAGATTGATTATGGAAACAACAGGCCTTGCTGTGCTTCATTGTCCTCTTTCTTGTGTTGAAGGGAACTTGTGCCACCTCATGTTCATTGTCTACAACAACTATGAATTAGGTTTCTGGTTATTAGTTCAGTGTCTACCAAAGGAAAATAAGGAGCCCCTCTTTTAGATAAGTGCCTTTGGGAACATGGAATTCATGTTCCTTGGCTGCAGCCACGCAAAATGGCTCCAGAACAGACTGTCTCTTATTCTCTTTTCAGATAAGTGTTGTGGGGTATCCACCGGAGAAGGCTGCTCAGACATGAGCCTAAGCAACCAAAAGTCTTTCTTTATCAGCAAGGAACTACGCTGGGTGTTTGGGATCTCAGCGTTGCCCCAACCTTTCTCAGGGTGGGCTTCTGAATTGGCATGCTTCCAGTTAACAAGAACGGTTAGTGAGAAGCAGAACTACAGAAGCCAAAAAACAAGGTTAGTACATTTAGAGACTTTCCCAGAGCTATGGACTTTGATGAACTAGGTCTCTGTTTTAGTTTTGGAGGTGGCGTGTTGAGTTCTACAGCCTGAATGGTACTTCCATCATGGAGTAAGTTGTGCTAA